CCCGACCCGTCATCTCAGGGGGTTCCAGTCCCTGTGCTCTACGCATCCTGGGCTTGCCACAGCAGGTTCTCCTGTCTTGCGTAGTTTTTCTCCCTCAACAGCCTGGACATTTATGGCTGGTGGAGCCCACACAATAAATCGAAGAACTCCAACACTTAACTGCAGCAAAGGAGGAAGGAGTTTACTGGAAGAGTGGGCGCACGGGGACTTGCATCCTGCGAGCGACTGGAGGACAGGTACCTGAACAATTGGAGGAATTGGGGCGGCGATCGAGCAGACCAGGGACAGGAGGACAGTCAATACTAGATGATATAGGAGGAATCAGATACCTGAGCAATTCGTTATCAATGGATGGCATCAGCAGATCCAGAGGAGAGAAGCGACGATCGTCGACAGAAGGAAATGATGCTTCGCCGCCCCTGGCAGGCGGAGAATTGGAATTTGCCACTGTCATCGAGGGGTCACACCCCCTTGGCAAACCGGTGCAGGAGAACACATTTATTGAGGGGACAGGCCCCCTTGCCCCTCCTCAAGTCATAGTTGCCTCAGATCATGGACAGCTGTTGGCAATTTATGAAAAGACCGTTCGTGAGATTGATGGTCATAGTCAGTCCCTCCTGTCAGTCGTTGTTGCGTTTATTTCCATTGCTGCTGCTGTTCTGGCTGTGACTCCCACGTCCTGGATTCTGAGGGATCTGGACGATATGTGCTGCATGAAGTTGGACCCGAACGGCCGCTGCTGCTTTGGTGTGCCTCCGGCCAACTGGGCAGAGTGCTGCAATGATTGTAGGAAACAGGGGATCTACAACGCCACATGGTTTGCAGGAGGAGACAAAGGAACTCCTAAGCATACGGAATGTCGCGTGGCACAATCTGCTGTGATCTACCGCAGGAATGGGATGTCGATCTTTCTTTGCCTGTCCGTCGCAACTGCACTTGTAGGCTTCTATGTGGCAGCGACGATACCAGCAGTAATGATTGCCGGCGAGCGAAGGCGGCTGATTGAGCTGTGTGTGTTTCAGCACAAACGCCGAAAGTTTTACATGTTATGGCGAACACTAGACTACCGAATGGATAATGTTTGGTATCGGTTTGTGGCAGATTCTATGGGCAATCTCGGCATGCTCTTCATCATCATTGTCTCTGTGACTATATTTGTCTCAGTGGAAAAGTATTACCGACACGCCAGGTTCTGTGACACGAACGGAAGCGCATTAACGTGGCGATCCTGTGGAGCGTCAGCCCCGGCAGGCATTGTCTTATTGCTCCTTACACTTATGTGGACAATCCTCTCCACACGCTGGCTCTGGAGCAGGGAGAAAAGGAGACTTCCATTCTTGTTTGATAAAGATTACCTTCACGTTAATTCCACAGACCCACCTGCTGCCCGCTGATTACCTGGCCACAAGACGGGAAAACTCACAGAAGGGTTTGCCAGCATCCTGCAGCCTGTACACTTATGCAGGTATGTTCGTACACATCTGAAAGGAACTGAGAAGCCAGCTTCTCTCGACACCATATGGGGACCTACGGACACATTGATGCAAGATGGTAACCCAACCTCCCTCCTCCTCCTCCTCCTCCTCCTCCTCCTCCTCCTCTCTCTCTCCACCTATTTGTTTACCTATCTATGTGATTCTGTATCCATCCACCCACTCACCCATCCATCCATCTGTCTGTGTGCTAGTGTAGCGCCACCGTGGCAATGTGTGTGCATATCCTGTGCCATCTTTTTTTTTTTTTTTTTAACACAAGCTCCGATCTATTTGTGGGGAGCATCACGTGCTGAGAACTGGGCTCAGCGTCCCTTTTGAAAAAAATACATAGTTGAAAGTTTGCGAGTTTGAGAAAATAGTCATGCACCTGAGTCAATCAGCACAAGTAGCAATGTTAGAATTTACTATTTAGAGATATATTGAATATGTTGCCAAACTGAGATGGGTTGGCTATAGATATCCGACTTTTCGGGTCAGTGTATAGGAGGTTACCGAAGATATTTGGGGGTGATGATGGCGATGAAGAGCTAATGCATGCCGAGATTTAGAGATGCTGCATGCTGAGGTTTTAAGCTGCTTCCTGATGAGGTTTCGACCTGCTTTGTGCAAAGCTTCTGATCTATTTCACGATGACATCTAGCGATACTTCATGCTCATATCTGGAGATACTTCATGCTGACATCTAACGATATGCAAGGAACCATGCACTGAGAAGAACAACAATCCAGACTAGCTCAGCGCCTGTGGTGCAGGCAGTGCAGGCCTGCACCGCCCTGCACACAATAAGGAAAAAGGCGACACGATCATGTACGTTGTGCGTCAAGATCTATATCGACAGTGAATCAATGGCAATACAGTGCAATAAGATATATAGTATATACACAAACAATTGTTCATCGGCTGTTGTGCGAAGTTCAAAGCTCAAACATTGAAATGTAAATAGTACTAAATACTAAATAATCATTTAATAATGTAGCTGATTAAATTTGATGTCAAAGTCAGGAACTATCTCAAGCGGGCACAAGACAACATCGTTGGGTGCATAGAATGATACAATGTTGTTGGATCTGGTTTGGAACAAGAGGTGCCCAAAAAGGCCCCTAAAGAAATATTCTTTTTTGTTTTCATTTTGATTTTTTTTTGCTGTGAATTTCGCTGTGGATTTTGACGTGACCCACCCTCAAACAAAAGTTGTTTGTATTGCAATGCTGCACAGCTGCTTTTTTTTTTCCTGGGAAGTCTTTATTTGTGTTTGAAAAGTTGAGATTCGAAAAAAGAAACAAAAAGGAACATTGATTCATTTATTGAATTCAATATCTTGAATTTAGTCCGCTCTAAGTGAAGACTGATGCATGCCGTCATCTTGCACTACCTTCTCACAGATAAGCACACAGTCCCTACACCACAGCACTTGTTCATTTGAACACAGAAGAAGCATGTAGTATATACTAATTATACAAGCACTATGTAGCTTATGCTTCCGCCGATCACTGACTATCCTTCACTCATGTCATCATATGCAGAGTACACTCTTTTTACACCTCAGCACTCTTTCTCGTGAATGTCTTTCTTTTTTTTCTTTTTTTTCCCCTCGAAAACAGGTCCTTATGGCCCTGGCTCCATTTCCATTCTGGGGAGCATCAGTCCGGTTCCTATTCCACCGGCAAGTCAGGCAGAATTACAATGAGAACACACACACGCTCCTCCCCCTTATGGTGTGGAGGCCCGAAGGACGACATTGATTACTTCCTGAAGGAAGGATGTACCACCCCTCACCCCTGCCTACGTTAGCCTGATGGACCTAATTTAGGCCCAGTCTAATCTCCTTCGTTCCTGTTTGTTAACTGTATCCCGTTGGCATTGGTTAGCTTGTTCCTCTCAGCTGCTTGGCTGTCGGCTTTGCTTTAAGTGCTAGAACTGCTAACTGGGCCTTTCCTGTTCCATGTTGAGACCCTAAACCTTAGATGACTACAACCTTTAAACCCTAAACCCTCTCTGTATTGCACCAATATCTCATGTTACTACACCCCTAAAACCGTAGATCCACTACCAATTTGATTTAAGTGGTAGAAGTACTAACTAGGTCTTTCCTGTTCCGTGTTAAGACCCTAAACTCTAGCTGACTGCAACCCTTAAACCCTAAACCTTCTCTGTTTTCCGCCTATATCCCATGCTCCTACACTCCTAAAACCGTAGATCCACACTACACCCCTAAAACCGTAGATCCCCTACCAATTTGATTTAAGTGGTAGAAGTACTAACTAGGCCTTTCCTGTTCCGTGTTAAGACCCTAATCTCTAGCTGACTGCAACCCTTAAACCCTAAACCCTCTCTGTTTTCCGCCTATATCCCATGTTCCTCCACTCCTAAAAYTGTAGATCCACTACCAACACTCTAAACGTCTTGAAACCTATCCCCTCCATTTGAAGTATAAGTTGCTACCCTTTATGATTGCCACTGCTCCTTGCCCCAGAATGTTGTGAAAAAAACGTTTCTTTATCTCTTCCTCCTGCTCCGGTTGGATACTTATTTGCCTTCTTACCGCTTTCCACCGTGCTCTGAGATCCGTTTCAACCAAAGTGAGGAATATCTCCCTTGCTTCCTGTGTGTGCATTGGTCTCCCTTCGATAGTAATTTGGCACCGGCGCTTCCAAATAGCCCAGAGACCATATTGACACATCAATTTGAACATGTGTTTCTCGAAAGGCTGCCAATGGTTTGGGATACTGAGTCCCAACAAAAGGGAGATTTTGGAGTCAGGGAAGTTAGCCTTTGAAATGAGGTCCCAGATGGTCCTTACTTCCCCCCACATTCTGCTAGGTTCTTCACATTCCAAAAGACAGTGTTGCATTTTTTTAGGAATTCCCCCTCGACATACTCTACATATTGTACTTTCCGAGTTTCTCTGTCTCAAGCTTCTACGCTCATCTAACCATACATTTACGGGAAGCGCCACATGAGCTATTAGCCATTGCATACTTCTAACTGAGCCTAGACGTATAGCGGCAATGCTTGACCATGGTAATTTAGCCAGTTGATTGCAGGGTACCTCTACTCTCTTTTCCCAGCGCTTGATTAAATAGGGTGTAAGCGTGTTAGACCTCCTCCTCAATTTATACCCAATTCTAGTGGTATAGTGCAGGATATTAGTTCTTCTTGCTGCACCTGTTCCTGTGCTCCTTAGGTTCCAAGCCCATTCTACTGGATCCACTTCCAAATCTTCTATCGCTACTGATGGGCTAAATATTGTGTATTCATCTGTCTCCACCACCCTTACCTTTCTCAGATATTGTTTGAGAATGACGATCGGGGCTTTGGATGTCATGTCCAGTAGAGAAGTTGTGTTCGGAGGATGGAGTATGTCGTACTTGTCTGCATGTAGCCAGTCCTGTCTTGAAATATCTTGGTTCCAGATCCTGAAGGCTTCCTTGGGTTCGTTCTCATCATTCCATGTGGCCCAGTCCCCTCGTCCCCACTGTATTCCTCCCTGCAGCAATTGCTGCCACTTTAGCGGTATAGCTCCCAATATGATTCTACGGTTGTCAGCCAATTGGTGGCATCCCTTTAAGCACGTCCTCAGTTCCTATTCCACCGGCAAGTCAGGAAAAAAAAAAAAAAACATCATAGGATACCCTCACGCTTCCTTCCGTCTGGCCGAAGGAACCCTGATCAGCATTGATTGCTCCAACCTCGTGGAGGATTGACTGTCAGCTTGCCCTGGTTCCACCTTTCCTCTCAGAATTACTATGTCAAATTCAACATGAAAAGCAAGAAAGGTCTGATAAGCTACCGCTGCTACCCATTCTGTGTAAAAGACCTTGACCCCTGCATTTGAGGCACAGTGAAAAACCTGGCCTTCTAAACCCTGCTTGTCTTGTTTCTGTCCGAGGCCTCAACCGTAAACCCTGGACCCTAAACAAGATTATTTTTTTTCCAACTGCTCCCTGTGACCCATCAGAAGCCGCCTGTAGCGCCTGAATCTTGGATGCTCTTGTTTGCAGGACCTGTAAGTATGTGGAATAGACGTCTTGCTTCCACCGGTCACACTTTAACAACTCCTGCCCAGTTGCATGGCCTTATGCTATGATACTTGTGTGGCCTGCGCTGGAACTTGCTGGATTCTCTGTCTTCTCAGGCCCACTTCTGAGTTGTGCCAGTCCTTCCTTTTTTTTCTTTTTTTTTTTTCCCTCTCTTTATATCCCTATGGTAGTCCTAGTTCCTGTGTCACCCGCTGGGCCCCCAAGGACACCTCACGACGCTCCTCCGGAAACCAATGAAAGATCAGTCTCTGTCCCTCTATGGTCGCTACTTTGCCTCGGGCCAAGACCTTATTCTGAAATTTTATGCCATTCTTTTTCTCTTTGGCTGGTGGAAGGAAAATAAGCAATGCGAATGACGAAAAGGAGAAATCCAGATAACTTCAAGCAACAACTGAAAGCAGAATGCACCAACAAATTGCGCCAAATAAGACCGAGTCAGCAATGAATCACGTGATAATGAATGAAAGCACCCATCTCGCCTCCAATCTGATGTACCCATCAATGTTGCAATCCTATGGGGCGCTCAGTGCCCAGGCTACAGACAGCCTACTCCTACTCTGGACCTCTAACGTCTACAACAGGTCAATAATGAAGATCAGCGACTGATGAACCATGAAGACTCCGATAGAACGGCCCACTTCTTCTCACCACGTACGTGCCCCTGTACACCGCTCACCCCTCGTCTTTTCCCAATGCAGCCCCTCTGCACCTAAGGTCCACTGCTTCACCTCCACCAGCTAAGCAGACATATGGCCTGGGTATGGTCGCTGCTGCTACTAGCTGCGTCCACGCATCTTCTTCCTTGTGCGTACCGCCAGCACCCTTCTTCCATCTAGGTGGTTCTCCTCCAGCAAGCCAGTGCTCAAGCATGTCAACCAGCCCGAATGTATGGAATGAGCTGACCACTCTTCCTTTTCTTATGGCTGGATGGGCGAGGCAGGCGAGGACTGGGCGGCCTCTGTCCCAGTAGCTGCGCCCAGGGCGCTTCCAGAATGTGCATGGGGCTCAACTATAATTGCCCTTGGCTGGGCTTCAGCATCTGCAACCAACCGAGCTACCGGTTGGTTGGAGATGCTGAGTGCAGCAACCAACCCACGGCCCATTTCCTGCTCACATCGRCCTGTACTTAGGACTACAGTCTTCCCCCGAACAAAACGCACGTATGTACTATTCAACTTTCCCTGAAAAAGTCGATTTCTCGAAGTCGCCCCCTGAAATCCAAATAGTATGCACGTATGTTCTATTCAAATAGTATGCACGTTTGTTCTATTCGAACAGACGGGTGTTCTATTCAAATAGAACACATGCTTG